TAATAATATTTACATCTGTCGTAAGACCATTTTTTTAAGCGGGTTGATTGGCCGCTGAATAGAAAATTTCTAGATATTCGAGAATTTTATTATCTTGCAGCCAATCAACACACTTAAAAAATTTGTCATACAACAAATGTAATACTAGCCTAAGACAACAACGGACGACTCTTCGAACTCATGCTCACCCTTTCAAGTGTCCCTCTCCTGTTAACATATTATACTTTTGCGCGTAACGCCTGTTTCCGTCCAAGATAAACGCCACGTGTCCAGGTATCTGGCCGGTCTTGAGTATCCTGACGACCAGGGATAGAAACCAGTCCCGAATGTTGTTCATTAACCACGACATCGCACTTGGAAGTTTACTTGCGTGACTACTGAAATATACTACTTGAAAGCACACGGCCGTCCAATCTTTTATTACGAAGTGATCCGAGCCAGAGCGTCCCAAGTGATATATATCACGTGTGTTATGTAAGAATTATGGGGTATTCGTTTATGCAACTCTTAGCGCATCCACTTAGTGCTGTCCGAGAGCGGCCTTTGATAGCACGGTCGCATAGGAAGGGGATGACGCACACAAGCGAGCGACCGTGCTACCAAAGGCCGCTCTCGGACAGCACTGCATCCACTGCGTCTCTCATCTGCTAATCACGTGACGTAATTTACCGAACGGACAACTGCGTGAACGACTGCTCGGACGTTTGACTCCTCCCATTTGTTTAGAGGTTAAGTGTTAATTATTTAAATTTGGAGAAAATATGATAACGACCTTAATTATATAAATTATATCTTTAAACACATTTTATTAAAAAAAATTCTCCTTTCAGAAACCATAATGATTAATATTATTCATGCAATGGATCTTGATCGACAGTAGCTCATCAGATTCTGATTTATGGTCAGATAGCTCTGATGAAGAGCTACTATTATTAGATGATACGGTATTGTTCATTTCATTTATTAATTCAAATAACATATTAAAAGTTTTAAATAAATGATATTATATAAGAAGAAAAATAATAGAGCTAGTGATCCACAAAGGATACTAAGGCTGCGTTCGGGGAGACGCTATTAGCGCTGAAAACGTCAGTTATCTTCGTCACTCACTGTACGTCGAACAAAGATAGAAGACGCTTTTAGCGCTGAAAGCGCGCTCCCCGAACGCACCTTAAGCATATATTCCAAGATTAATAATAAGATCGTGATAAACAATTCGACTCATAATCCAGACTTAAGTCCGCTGCAGACGATGCTAATCGATCCTACAAAACTGAAAGTAATGCAAGATAGTTATATGGAAAACTAGAAAAAAAATTAAAATAAAAATTCTTAAAACCCGCTGCAGACGATGCTATTTTTCCTGCTGGATTACTTGCAATCTAATAAATTACTATCGTTGCACCATTCAGCACTCAGGATTCCTAGTAATTTAGTAAATCGCAAGCAATCCAGCAGGAAAAATAGCATCGTTTGCAGCGGGTTTTAAAAATTTTAATTTTAATTTTAATTTTTTTTCTAGTTTTCCATATAACTTATCTTGCATTACTTTCAGTTTTGTAGGATCGATTTGAAGCAGGTGATCTTCACCTTTTTGGTTTTTTATTTTTATAAAATAACTCAATTTCAATTAAAAGATGCTCAACATAAATTCGACGTTAATGATGGATAGCACTAAACAGACAATTCTTGCAGTTTTACATTTATTTACGCAGTACTGCAAGCAGAGCATCCAGAGCAGGACCTCCGAAGTAGCTGCGCAGATAGGATGCATCTCTGCGTAAACGAACGACAAACTGCACTGCAGTCGTTTTCGTAGGCAGAGTAAACGAACTACATCTATTGCAGTCACTGCGTAAACGAATGCACCCATGTTGTTGAGCAACGGTGGGTAATTTTCATCGCCCGTGGGCGTCCGTTTGCCCGCGGGCAATAGCTGTGCGTGTCGGGCAATAGTGGGGAGACAGTTTCGGCAAGTGGGAAAGAACACGGTTTTTCGCTTCTTTACACGTTTCATTAGTACATTCTCTTTATGAATAATGGACGTGTGAACTTAAGACATCTAAAAAATTTGCAACATGTTGCAACTTCAGCTGCCAAAGTAGTCGATCAATATCAATGACCATGAAGCTTACTATGCTACGATGCAAATCAAATGTAACAGAATTAAGTTTTATATTAATTTTTTCCATTTTTAAATAGTTTTATCATAAATTATTAGAGTCCGACCGAAATTTCGGTTTTGGTTTCGGCCATTTTCGGCCTAAAATCAAGATTTCGGCTTGATTTCGGTTTCGGCCGAAATAGAGAGAAAATTTCGGTGACGTAAGCCGAAACCAGAAACTAGAAATCGCAACACGTCGCGTTGGTCAACGCCAATTGCGCCGGCGCGATTTCTTCCTTCTTTACCCGCTTTTTACTCTCCTTCAAATGTTTAGTGCCTGAAATGCATAACATCGAACGTAACCTCTCAAACGCTCATCGGTTGCTAACAGTGTCAAATAGTAATATCCGATTCTCTTGAAGTTGATCTCTTATTTTATAATGTTTCTTCATATTTTATTTTATATTGTAACTCGAGTAAAATACTTTTATATTTTGATAAAATATGTAATAAAACCTTACTTTAAAAATGTACATTTTCTATACTAATTTTCAAAATTATAT